GTTGTAACACTTAACTTCAAACGACTCGTCTCGGAGATGAGTAATTCTAGAACGACTAACTTTGCGTAACACTTTTAATGTAACAACTGAATGTTTTTTGTTGTTATCGTTTCGGAAATAGTGTGTGCTAATAATGGACGATACATTATCGATATTTCGAATGTCGATACTTTTCAATTCAAATTTTGATATTTTGTATCGATATTTAATGTGACGATGTATTCCAGTATCGATAACTTAACCCATTAATATTGAAATTTGGTAGCAGATCGTAAGAAAAATGGACCAATCACGAACTTTTTATAAAGTTTGCGATTGATCGATTTCTTTTCCACACTGTTACCTGAGAATCTGCCCTTGGTAAATAGCTGCTTAAGTGAATGATTTATATTCACTTTTGGATTTTATTACTTCTAATTTAATTGCAAGTATCGATACTTTATTCTCGATATATACAAGTGCATCGATAGTCTGGGTATCAATTCGTATCGATACCAACATCGATACAGTACAAATATATCGCCATTACTACAGTGCACCAATCACTGTTGAAGGTACAGAAAAAAAGCTTCCAGAATTCTCCACCAGGTGGTGACGATGAAAGAAAAATTCAAATTCGTCTGTAGTCTGAAGTTACTATTTAATAATCAAACAAACAAACAAGACGAGTGGTCTTTATAGGTTGAGGATTAAGCGTCATATTAGTTTCGGAATAAAATAAAAAATTCGTTGGTTCTGACGAAAGTTTTATCTTTTCTTGTAACTGACAGTGCCTTATAGATTGTAAATGCGTAATATCCGCGGTCCAATTACGTGTCACGATTGTTTTATAACCAGCCAGGATAAGAATCTCGGCAAGAAATATGACGGCGAAAGTTTACGATTTAAAAAAAGAAATTGGCCACGCCACGAAGTGATTCTGCACGTGTGCGAGAAAAATCACCTACATAATATGCTGTGGTGGCCTGTGTTGCTGCCTGGCATTAATGGCGACCGATCCGGGGAACAAGTGGTCGAAAGTAACAACCTGAAAGTCAAGTTTAGCAAGTTTCGTTATTGGCTCCGGCTCGACTATTGTCTGAATTCCCGGCGAGTCGGTCGACGCACCTTGCTGAAAGACACCACTCTGCTGAATCGTGTTGGATGATGCATGGACTTTACGCACTGTTCGTCAGAACGGACGACAACGTAACCCCCGACAGAGCAATGGGGTTCGATAAACATACACTCACGAGTATACTAGGCTACCATTTGGTCTCGATACTGAAATTACAAAAAAAATTAAATATACAAAATTTGATATTTCTAGATAACCTAAGCTTCTCTGGGCTAAATTGTTAAAACACAAACATAAACAAATTAAAATAAGTATTATTCTTTGAGGGGATTTCACCCTATTCTGGATCCGTCGCTGGAAGAGTTTCCTAAACCGGAAAACAAAGGAAAATCTCATTAACTTGCTCCAGAAATTGACAGACCCGAACGAAAACATTCGGAAGTCGAGTGGTCACGAATAGTTCGACACTCGAGCGGACAAGCTTATCTGTTCTAAGCACCCTTATCCGCCGTCATTCGCGCCCAAACGGTGTTCGGTCGTGATCTTGTGCTCATCGAACAAGTAATCGAGAAATACAGGTTGACAAAGGGGAACGGCGCGCATAACTACCTGGCGGAACGCAAGATGTTGGCGTCGTTAAGTTACGAATCTCCCCCCATGAGAATGTCCCAGATCTAGAAGGGCGAGTTCGACGAAAACGGGTCTCAGAAAGCGTCCTGCGTAAGGGGGTGAGGAAACGACGATCGAGAAAAAGAGAAAAAGGCAGAGGTTAAATGAATCGCGGCGCGGAGAGCGAGAGAAAGACCACCGATAGAAAAAGAGAGGAGGAGGCGTAAACGGGCGCACAACACACCACAGGGTGGCGGAGGCGGCAATGTGGATCGGCGGGGCGAGGCGTACCGCGGGGGGCGGGCGGATTGGGGAGGGGGTAAGCAGGGTCGAGGGAAGGGAATAAGTAGGGTTAAGAGGCGGACGGAGGGGTGCTCGGGGTATCAGCGGTGGTTACGGGGGCAGAGGGGCGGCCCTCCTCCCTCAGCGGGGCGGCGCAGGGCAGAAGTGGACGGGCAAGAGCGATTCAACCTCCTTTCACTTTCAACGAGCGCGCCGCGGCACCGCGCTTGCTCGCTCGCTCGCTCGCTCGTTCGCCGGTTGTTTCATGGGACGACGGGATAGATAGCGGCCAAACACTTCGGTACGAAAATAGGCAACACTGCCATTTTCGCGGCGTGTACGCCCTGTAAATTGTCGAAACCCCGTTCCCGAAATCCACCCTTGGTGGGATTACTCCGACAATCCTGAGGGGGACAGAATCGCGTGAAAATGAGTGCCACATGCGAGGACTTTTGTAATATGCTTGACGATCGGGACACGCGCGTGTGTACCATTTATGGCAGGGTGTTGACGGTTCTTCACTATTTTTTTTCTTTTCTGTATTTTATATTAAACATATTCAGAGGAGAGAACACACGTAGATTTGTGAATTTTATTGCGGAGGATCGGGTAAGGGATGCAGGTTTCTGGTACCCAAGTGTTGAATTGGGGATGATCGATTGTGAGTCGATTAACATGTACACCAACGGCCAAAACTGTGGAACCAGAGTTCATGATTGATGGAACAGTAACTGATTATTTTGTTACGATAAAATAAAAGTTACGGAATTGGTATACAATACAGATCACTTTCCATCAGTTTTAACACGTTACCTTCGTTAACTCTTTGTAGAACAATATTTTCCTGTTCCTTTAATTATCAGACCTGGTCCCATACTTTTGGCCGCTAGTGTGTGTGTTATACATAGCAGTGGCGTGTTACCCAAGGGAATCGATCTTTTGAAGAATCGAATCGGAATCGAACATCTCTACTTCGAACCCCGTTTCCAGATTTATTAATACGTGTAATATACACATAATACAATATAACTTACTATAGTATAATATGAAGTGTATAAGGAATTAAAAATCACCATAAACTCCGATGAAAGTATTTTTAGGATTTCGGTAATTGTAAAATAAAAAAGTCTGAAATCCGTCATTCTGACGGGTTCGGTAGTTCTGTAGTATTAACGTGATTGTTGTCAGGTGGTAGTGGTTGCGTCGTGGGTAGGTAAAATTCTCGAAGAATCGGGGGGAGGGGGTCCGTTAATGTATACGCGGCTGCTGCTGCTGCCGCTGTGCGCATTTTAATCCCTCGCAAACGACGAGGGGAATCCATATCGAGTTCTCTCCGCTAGGCCACTTCCGGCCCCGAGACCACACATCTGAGGATCCCTTGTTTACGGTGTGGACCTTAACGCGGAGATGCGATAATACTTGAATTCCGTAAGCAAGGGAACATCCAAGACTAATATTGCATTCACCTTCACATGTGTCGTCTCGTGACTTTGTCCCGTTCTCTTTTTCTCATCCTCCGCGCCTATCACGAATTTTATGTATTGATTGTGTAGAATAAATATGAGAAAGATGTAAAGCCTCTTTCTCTCGACAGATAATGAAAGTTTGCCTCTAATCTAAATATCGCTACAAAAGTTTATATGAACTCACGGGACGAGCTGATATAGGGGAAGGTTGCCGAATTTCGGCCATGGTCCGGCCACCACTGTAACTTGTCATAAACAATTTGCGCCATATGATAGACAATATTTGTATGATGTGGTAATTAACCCGCTCACTGCGTCTGTGTGGTATCTTGTACATTTTTTTTTATAAAATCAAGTACCAATAATCATTCTAAGATTATTTAAAACATTTAAAGAAATTGATTTATTTTTTTTTATAAACAATGTGCTTACGATAAATAACGAACTAGTAGTCACACTAAGAACGTTCTTCTAATGTCATTTAAAGAAGGTTCGTACTACCGTTCGTCAAGAAATGTTGCAAATATTGTCACTAAAGTGATAAAGTAGGCGTCCACTGTAATGGACAGATGCAGTTAGCGGGTTAACTACCTTTTTTCAAAATAGAGTTATAGACTTGTATTGTCCATCATACAGCGCATATTTCTTACGCATAACGAATAGTCTAACCTAGACACTAGTCCAAATTCGGCAACCTTCCTCTAATTCCAGTCTTTTCGTCGGACAATAGACACTCATAACCTCAAAATGAATGGTGGACAAAATATATGATGAAATTAGGAAGTATTCCGTGTGCAAAGCTTTAATATCCGTGTGTATATCAGTAAAGCGTCCGAATACGCGGGAGTATGTTAACAGGTTGTTCCCAGGCGGTTAATCGCGAACAATAAATAATACGGTGCTGACAGTCACGGCGCGCGCGCGCGTTCGCTTTCAATAGCGACGCGTTCAACGTGTGCCAAATAACACCTGCAGCTTTCGTAGGTGGAGATCCATGTTCTACACGCGGGGACAACCAAGTCGTTTACACGGGGACAGGTTCGATGGGGAACAGGAGCCCAAGGAGCTAACAACGCGTTGCCCAAACTTTTTGTTCTGTCGCGATCGGCTCTTCCGTCTTCGTCGATGGCGGACTTTGAATAGCGCTTATCTCAAGGTTGAACCGTGTTGACGGACGGCTGCATTTAATCGCGAAATTACGGCTCCGGATAGGCTCGGTACAGTAAATCCTCGATGAGTGTTCGAAGACTCCTCGGCATTGAACATTAAATATTTCATAAACTAATGACCATATACGGTTGAAACAAATATCATTGGCTTCAGAATTCCAAGCTCTATCAATGTGCTAAACGGCATTAAAAAATCAGCGTTACACCTGGCGAAATCTCCTGAACCTCCGAACACTCATCGAAGATTTACTGTATAAACATTTTCAGTCGATCATATTGCATAAAATCCGTCGTTTACTTATTTACATCATGAAATCAAGTTCCGTTCGACCGTACGTGACGGTCCGGAACGATCTCTACGTGTAAAAAAATTTACACAGTGAAATTACAACGTTGTGTTTACCATTTCTGTTACAGCCGTGCGAGCGGACCGGATGCGCGGCGGTAGAAACAAATTCGGGCCGATGTACAAGAGAGACCGAGCGCGAAAGCTGCAAATGATGAGGCAACGGCAGCTGGCACTGCAAACGATACGCGGCAGCCTCGGTGATCCATCGAACTATCCCTCCGCCGTAACGCCTTTCCTGCATATTAAACAGGAGATCCAAATACCTCAGGTCTCGAGTCTAACGTCTTCTCCAGATTCGAGTCCATCCCCCGCAGCCGTGGCCGCTGGTCTGGTCACGACACAGGCTGGCAGCGGAGCTGGTCAGCATCAACTGATCGCACCGTCCTCCCAGCCATACATTTCTGGCGGTAATCACCTGCACAACCTCAACCCCGGCCTGGATAGCAAGCTGTGGGCCGCGAACTCGACCACACCGAGCCCGAAGGCGTTCAACTTCGGCGAACAGTCGACGCAACAACCTCACAGCGGTGGAGGTAACGCCGCCGGTTCCGCGGCCTCCACCGCCGCCTTGAAAACTAGTCCGATGATAAGAGACTTCGTGCAAACGGTCGACGATCGCGAGTGGCAGGCGTCCCTTTTTGGACTGTTGCAAAACCAAACGTACAATCAGTGTGAAGTGGACTTGTTCGAATTAATGTGCAAAGTGCTGGACCAGAATCTGTTCTCGCAGGTGGACTGGGCAAGGAATTCTGTGTTCTTCAAAGATCTCAAGGTTAGTCGCTCCACCCTTCCGCGCACCGCACGGTTTATGGCTGCGTGTGTTTGACCCGTTGATAACGACACGGGACTCAACACCTGGTCTCTTGGTCAAAGAGATATACGATATAAGTTCCGTGAATACTTCTGTGGGGATGACAGTGAGTTGGGGGTGTGAAGAGTCCTTGGATCTCATTCGGGGTTGTCTTGGAACCGTTATTATAGTTCAAGTGGATTTTCGGTTTGGACTCGAAACCCTCGTATACAGTTTAAAGTAGAAAGAAACTTGAAGATTACAATTTCTTTGTTTCCTTGCTAACTAGCAATAGTGTTGTCATTAGTTTCCGGTATAATCTTCCTGAGATGCTAAAACGAAGCAATGTCTGCGGTCCTGCGACGTCAGTAGGACCTGCTAGCCGAGAACCTTCTTTAGAAGTATTCCGTATCGTTTTCACTGACTGTATTTGCTCCATTTTGGTATCTTTGCGTTTCCGATCTACATCATTCTGAATTTTCATCGTGTGGTACGTTTCGAATTTTTGTCATTTTTTTCTCCTTAACAAAATTGGTATTAACCGATTCATGTCACTATGAATTTTCGACATATGGCATCCTCCGAATTTTTGTTATTGTTCCTCCCTCATCAAAACTGGTATTAACCGAATTCTTGAGAAAGAAACACAGGGGATCTAATGGAAAAACGTGTGCACAGAGGTCTGTGGTAGGGAACGTGTTAATTAGTCAAGTGGAAATTTTGTTGTGTAACCGAAAGCATTGAAACCATTTTGGCGAACGCAGTAAGAAGAGAATATATGATACTACAGTTATTAACCCTTAACGGCAGACTACTCGTCCCAGAGACAAATTTGAATTTTTGATTCACTATCACCACCTGGTGGAGAATTTCAGAAGCTCCAGGCCATAGATTCCCAACGTGGGCGCCGAGGATATCTGGAGGGGTGTTCTAGTTATTTTTATTTTCTTTATTTTCAGTCTAACTTTTTAAGATCCAAAGATTACACAAACAGCTACACGTGGAATTTTTATTAATAGAGATAGTTGACCCAAAGGGGGCGCTGAACAAAAGAAAACTTTTAAAGGGGAACAGTGAGCCAAAAAAGGTTGGGAAACTATGCCGTAAGCGTTTGAGTACTTTCAGTCGACAATAAGTGGCGCGCTATTTCAAAAACGGTAACGAAAAATACCATTCGATTGCGCATATTAAAAGTAGTTGTCGAATTATTCATCTCTGAAACGAGTCGTTTGTAGTTAAAGGTTAAAGAATGTAATAACAGAGTTAGCTGCCGTGTGAATTGTCTAAAAAATATAATAACAACTTAGTGCACGTCGAAGTTTCATTAGAGTCTCTTCGTTATCCGAGGGCTAAGATAAATCGTTCGACGTTGTGACGCATAAAATCTCCTACCGTATGTTAATCGTCATCGGTGTAGGCAGTGGAGATGTTACTGTTTTAGTAGATCCATGGATCGATGATATCTTTTTTTTTCTCCTACGTGATAGGTAAAATCTTTTTTATTCATGTAATTAGTGAACACTTTTTTCCTGTATATTTGAATGATCTAGTAACAATGGGCTAGCATTATCAAGGGTGTGAAAGGTTTCACGTTTTTTAACCGTTGTCGAAGAATCTTTTCAAGAGAAGTCAGTTCTTACCGATAAATAACTCGTCGCTGGCCTGTTGGTGGTACGAGCGGGGATGTGAGGTAACCAACAGCATTGCACAATCACTGAATGATTTCAAGCATCGCCTCATATCTAGGTCATAACAAGATACGTTTCTGGGTTATGGCGGTTGCCCTAAAGCAGGCCCATGTTAATTATAAACCGACTGCTTAACCGATTTTGTGGTTTTTATTGTTGTTGTTTTTTCTCTTTCTCTTCTGTGAATGCATAAAAATACCTGTCACGATTTCGAGTCCCCTGTTTTTATAGTTTTTGTTCCAGACAATATGGAATGCAAACGTAATGTTCCTAATCGTTTTTTTTTTTCGTTCAGTTACACCTCGTAAAATGTACTAGACGTTATTTTTTCCGTTTGTTTAAATAAGTACCGTTCTTACAGAATAATACTCAAATTTCCTTTCGTTGTTTGTTTTAAAATCACGATGTTTCGAAGATTTTTTTTTTATTCCTTGCTCGGTGAAATGTACTCGAGGGGATTAATTTCATTCGAGAGAAATAAATGGTTTCGCAAAACAGACACGACCGAGAAGCGCGGTTCTGTCTAACGATTTTATTGTATTGTTCGATAGGTTGATGACCAAATGAAGCTACTACAACACTCTTGGTCGGATATGTTGGTGCTCGACCATCTTCATCAAAGGTTACATAATAATCTACCCGACGAGACTACACTTCATAATGGCCAAAAGTTTGATCTCCTTTGTCTCGGCCTACTTGGAGTCCCTTCCCTGGCCGATCTTTTCAATGAATTGTCGTCCAAACTGCAGGAACTAAAATTCGACCTTTCGGACTACATATGCATAAAATTCCTGATGCTGCTCAATCATGGTACGTTCATTTGTAATTATAAACCAATCACGTTCCGCGATATATCATCTATGATTGGTGAAAGCAAATGAATACATATGCTGACGAAACGAATTTTTTGTTTATTGGAATGTGTAGAAGTTCGTGGACTAGTTAACAAGAAACATGTACAGGAAGGTCATGAACAGGTCCTACAGGCACTTTTGGATTACACGTTGACCTGTTATCCATCAGTAACGGTATGTTTATTTTTTCGGCGAATTCTTATATTTTCGTTTATATTTACCGTTTCGGGGGTAGGTCCCGGTACGGATCCGGTATGAATTGATGAGATTTGTTTTTCTATACAGGATAAATTTAACAAGCTGCTAGCAGTATTACCCGAAATTCATGTGGTAGCAAGCAGGGGAGAAGATCATCTTTACCAGAAGCATTGTAGCGGTGGAGCACCGACCCAAACTCTTCTCATGGAGATGCTTCATGCTAAGAGAAAATGAAACGATAGATTCGCACGGCGATCTAGCCACGAGTTAGTCTATTGCTATATCTCAGAAATCACGATAGAGCCCCTTACTGTCAAAGTGGACCTCAAGTACCTATTAAGAGCTAACGCTGCTTAGGTATTGGACCAAGTTAAGGGGCCCTGGTTCATAAAATACCTATGCAAACAAATCAAGTATAGACGTACATACATTTACATATATACATAATATATGTATTATAAAAACTGTATCTAAATATATAAACATAATGACATATATTTTCTATATTTGATGTTGAAGTTTTAGAGATGTATCCATGGAGAATTACTACCCCTGTTTGGTGGGTACAAGCGCAGGGAAACAGTAAGCAAGATGCCTTGAAAACAGTACAAAGGGTGGTTAACAAAATATTGGTCAAAGGGCAGGCAACTTTTGTCTAAATAAGCAAAGCTATTTTTCTAATACTAGAAGCGATTATTTTTAAGCATACCACTGAAGCCTTGCTCTCATTTTGAACAGAAAAAAAGAATAAATAAAACGAAGAGATGATATCCTAATAGTAACACACGAACGAAAGAAAAACAAACAAATAAACAAAGAATTGCCGACGTTACAGTCAATCGTGGCTTCTGCAAGGGATTCAATGGGCATACTTGAATGACAGTAAAATTTCATGTGATATACTTATATATACATATATACATATATGTCGCACGGCCACCTGGGCATCCTTAGAACTTCCTATTAAAAAAATCTGCATTTTGTCACACTTGCACACAGCAGGGCTACTATATTGTAAATACTAGTTAACACATTCCAATTATGTTGTAAAGTATAAATCATGTTAAATATGTAATTATAATATTTTGTGTATAGTTTAATGAAATAAATATATTTCTGTTGCTTACTGAGAAAAAAATCATTAGCTACTTAATGTCTTCACTAATTTTAGAATTTTATTCATGTATTTCTCTTTTATTATTTTTCAAATAGGTGGCGGAAAAAAATAACCACAAAATGCGATATTTTATTATTGTATATTGTATCATAATAAAGATTCTATTTAAGAAATGAAAGAATCATTGGAGCAAGGTTTATGTGGTCCTACATTATCTAGCGATTATTACTAAGTACATAAGATTAATATTGTCTTATTGCAATTGTTAAATAGATAAATATTTACTGAATGTTAAGATAGCGATCGAACCGTAGTAATTTTTCACTAATAGATTATTATTGTTTAGTCAATAGTCAGAAACTTTTCAGTGCTGTGAAGGTTGTCTTTTCGACGCCTGTGGTATCTAAGCCATCGGTAATTACACGTGCTAGATTCGAGGCTCAAGTGTGGCAACAAGAACAGAAATCTTTGCTCGTACTGGTAGGCTGGTAGTACCACCCTTTGCAACTCCTACTGTTTATATCCTCTATCAAAGAAGTACCTGGAAAAAAATGCTATTTTACTACTTTCACTTTTCCACCGACTTCGTAATAAGATATTAAATATAGATGTATACAATTTGTTGATGTACGTAAAAAAAAAAGAGAGAACGAAAAACTCGATGCCACATTAGATTAAGAATCAAGTGTTGAATCAAACCAGGAGGAGTTAGCTGCGAGTATTACTACCATGGAAGAATATAAATATACATATATAAATATATATATGTATATACATGAATATACACGTATATATTTTCGAGAACATGCATGTACTTATCGTGTGAGTAAAGATTTGTGTCCACGGTCAAATTTTTGAAATCTTCGATATAGATGCAAAATGTAATTAACGTGTTCCCAAATTTTCAAATCGTCTGGTTCTTTCAACAATCAATCGATCGGGATGAATATAAAGTTCGCATTAATATTGATTTTCGATTCATTTCAAACAACTTTCAAAACGGTCAATGTTTTATTTAACTCGCATATGAATGTCTACCTCTTCGTAACTGTATTAAGTCTTACATTTTTACATTTTTAGTGAACCACATACCTCAGAATAGACACCCAGATAGCAAATTAAATGGAATGTATGAATGTTACCTACGTAGACTTGAGGTCTACGGCTTCTGTAATATGCGTAACGACAGAACGTTAAAGTTCCATTCAAGTATTGTACCCGTTATATATTTCCATGCTACTATCTTAGTTATTACTATGTTTATTCCAAATTAGACTATACTTGTACATGAAATGTGTAATATATTTGAGTCCAGATTTAATGATTACCAACGAAGCTTTGAAACTACACGTCAAATCCCATATTGCTGTTTGGGTAAAAACAAGCTGAAACCGTAATATTTTATTTATTGTAATTTCATTAATCCTCGAAACTTCTATAGAACATGTCGGTCTGATAATTTTGGAACAACTTTATATGCAAAAGTCGCAAACATAATAATTATCTCGAAAAAGAAAAAAAACATGAAAATTGTCTCTTCTAAATATATCCCTAAATCAATGATCTTTGTATGTGTCCATCCTATTTAATCGTCCGCTCGATTCTGTTACAACGTGTTTATTGATAATTGTAACTAGAAAGTACGATAATACTGGTGTAATAAGCATTGTGTTAAATATGTACAGTTACCAATTATAATTGGCAAAATAATCTAATTTAATATCGATGTGATTTTTTGCTCCAATTAAATAATTGGAATTAACATTTAAAGAAGAACTATTATGCGTTGTTAACACTGCCATTAGGAGTTGGCAATTGTAAATTATGTAGAAAAAGAATAATTGATTGTAAATATATCTTTATTATTAACTAATAACTGTTCCTTTTTAGGATCAACAGTGCTATTTTTTATATATTATACTGATTGAACTCCTTTTAAACAATGATATTCCCCTTATTGCACTCCTTGTCTTTGGTATTATTGTAAAATATATACAATATCCATGAGACGTACGATAGATTTCGAAAGGAGGGTAAAGGATGGTACTATGTAAATTATTAAGCAGACAATTTTCAGAAATTTACAAATAGTATTTGAAAAACATTCAATTGTTTCTTTATGTACACATGTTATTATAATTTAAATGCGTTTATGTACAACACAAAGTTTACTATAATTTGTAACAACAATGATGATGTCATTCGTATATCGAATAACATGTATATTAAAACATTTGTTTGCTTTGTACAAATATGATAACAAGATAAGAAAATGCACAGTGGTTAATAAAGACATCAACTAACTACTGCACTCAGCTTCATATTCTTGATTCACAGTGTTCATGTATTACATTAAGCACGTCACCTAAACTTACATAGAAAATTATGCCTCTGCATGACTCGTAAACAAACTATTTTTTGTACTTAAAGATACGATACCTTTGTTTTATAAATACTTTTGTCATTTAAATTTACTTTATTTAAGTCACTGTCTTTTTTTCTTTTTATTAAGCAATCAACTTCAAACTGTAGCTAATTTATATTAAAATGACAAAATATTGTGCAGCCACATGTAATCAAACGTGCTTGTTACTATATGCTTTGAAATAAATATTAAGTTTTTTGTATTGATAACACATCAACAACTATTAATAAGGGTAAAAATTGAACTACTACTAAATAATAACTTCCTATATGTTCAAAAGAAAACATGCTTAATGCGGATTAGATTTTAAATATGAGTTGTAAGCTTCTTCATTCATTAGATTTTTGACTTCATCTAGATTTTTTAGTTCTATTTTGAACAGCCATCCTTTGTCATAACACGAAGAATTAACTAAACCAGGTTTCTTTTCAACTGCTTCATTTTTTTCTATTACTTTTCCACTGACTGGACTGTATAATTCGGAAGCAGCTTTTACAGATTCTAATGCTCCACACTCGGCTGTAAAAATGAATTTCCATGAAACAGAAACACCAGACAATTAATTTAAACTACACGTATATCAATGTTCTGACCTTCTTTTTCTATTGCAGATCCAGCATCTGGAAGCTGAGCATAAACAATATCACCCAATGCTTCTTGCGCGTAACTGGATATTCCAACTATTCCTATTTTACCATCAACCGTAATCCATTCATGTTTCTCTGTGTATAGCCTTTCTAAAAATTCAAAATTATATACTTTATAAATGTGAAGCATTCAATGTAAGCCAAACAAATATTTTGAGTGTTACACAAATGCATTAAATATTACAAGCTTTTTCATAGAACTAAAAATATAAAAACAATCAGAAAAATATTGAGAACAATGTGCAATTGTTGTTAAAATAACTTTTTATGAGATACTGTAATATAAGTACGTTTAATATTGTATCAGTTTCTAAGTACCAATAATTATCAATAATAATATTAGAATCATATTCGTTCAATCTGTAATTTGAACTTTCGAATTTTTTTCGAGTTTTGAAGCAAATAACTTTTCAAACTTACCGGCTCTGAGACATCGAGTATTAGCAATTGAACGTGAGAGGTATAAGGATGCTCTCGAAACAGGACGACTGAATAAACTTCCCTTTGAGGTACATGACAATGATCCAGCGGTACATTTTGCTATTTGTGCAACTAGTTTTGCCATTCTGAGTTTCTAATTTACCAGACAGAATACGAACTAAATAGACGGAAACTGAAAGCTTAACCTTACTGTGCTTTGTCGTCTGCAATGTATCGTCCTTGGCAGAGTTCGTAAGTTTTCCGTAATGGAGCGAACGAAAAGGCGCGATACGAATGAATGATTAAAAGATGTCTATGAAGCAGCATATGTTTCTTACATTATCGGCCACTCTTATCTCGTAGAATATATTTCATCACCGTGTAATTCGAACTAACACGTTAGAAATATACTGTCGCATATATAATTACTCAATGCAGAAATACCAATCTCAATGATTCCTTTGAATTTTAAGCATTGTCGTTTTTTTTAATCATTTTTAAGAATGTAATACATATTAGTATAATTATAGTCGTTTTGTATGCATAGTAGTTTAAAAGATGCATATTTTATTCAAAATAGGTATCATTTATAAATATGTACATTAGCTATTTAGTTTACAAGTGAAGTATCAAGGTTGAATTGTAGTCACGAAACAATTTCCGTTTTTTTCTTTTATGTTTGTATTGGTTCAATACACTTTAGAATTAATATAATTCTATTACACGTTCTCGATTACCATTAATCTTAGTAATTATTACCTATTAATTTTCCAATACTTATGGTAGAAGTTATTTATACTTCAATTCAATGAGTCTCCTTTTCTTACAAATGAGGAAAATTGACTTTAAACGTTTACACACAGTCTTTATATTTAAAATGAAACTCATACCAACTTTTCATCAATAGGAAAAACAATGTATAGTTAACAATGTATAATTGACCCAATTTATTTTTAAAAATTATAAAAACGAAAAATTTCTGCGTTCACATAGTATCTTGAACGTGAGAAAATCAAGTAAATTTCAATATAAAACCTATGAAAATCAGACAAATACTTATGTAATATTTTATTTGTTATCAGATGTCTAAAATTGTAATAGTCATATGCATTTGAACAAAAAATTAAGTCATTTTAATTGTGATTTGCAAAACAGTAATAGTTTAGCAGTTTCAGAAAACACTTAGTATTATTCAAATCCTGAGTACGATCACGTGAGGTCAAGAGGTCAGTAGAAACACACTCGAGAGATAACTTGTAATTTATTTTATCAGAGTAGTAGAATATCAGTGACCTCTGAGTTCAATGTGAATAATTCACAAAGAAAAACGTGAATTCTATTCTGAGAACATTTATTGAACTATCTTCATATCGCATCTGTCTTAATCAAACTTGTGTTTGCAGCTGATAGTAAAAATGAATACTTCCCCATATATCAGTTTTTTTTTTTTAGAAATTTGCGTATCTATCATTTCTTTACAAAGAATTCACCAGTTATTTAAATTACAAACATGGTATTATATATGCAAATGAATTTACTTTCTCGGTTACACAAAATATTAGTACATAAGACTTTTCTGTTGTAAGGAATTTTCAATGGAATTCTTGTCGGAAGTCTATTACAAATATATTTTAATTCAATCTTTAAATGGCTGAATAAAAAATATATTAAATTATAAACCTATAGTATAAGAACGACCTCCAGGATTATGAATGGCTACTGGAATAGGCTTGCTGATACACCATTCGTACCAGACATTCTTAGTGCTACATTGACGCCAAAAGTGAACAACTATTTCATCACCCGCTTTCAACTGGACTGGTTCCTATGGCATAAATCATATCAAAGTTCATATTACTTATAAATCACGTAAAATTCTATCATATAAGGTACATTGTACACTTTTACATTACCCTAATTGGGAAAAATATAGGAAACCAACTGAACATTCCGGGACTATGGGTGCTGGGTTCTATACTCAATGTAACATCTTTGTATAAAACTGTATCAAAATATCCAGAAAAACCATGTAATACACAATTCTGTTGTACTTCGAATGTCTTGATCTCATATCTTGAATTGTCAATGACAATTCCTGAAACGTTGACAATGGTAATAAGAATAGTAATGTTAAAAATTCGCATCGAAGTGTAAGAATATAAACGTTACCAACCTTTATTTGGATGTTTGAATGTAAATAATGGTTGTGGTTTCGCGATATCGTATTTATTTTGTAGGTGAACAACATACGACGTTTCAAAATGAGCCAAGGAATGTTTTTCTTTGTCTTTACATTGCCTTACTTCATTGTACAGTTTCGAAGATTGAACAGGAGCAATGTATGACGTGTACGAGGATGGTATGCTTATGCCATCATCTAACATAATAGAATAATTAACAACAGTCACATTATTTGATTACTAATTTCTTTTCAATATAGAAAATGTATACCTTTTAAAAATTTCTGGACTCCATCCAAACATTCAGGAGAGAGTTCGTTATCACTGAAAGAACCAAGTAATTCAGACACTAGAATATCAGCTTTTTCAGGAGCATCCCATTCTCTCATATCACATGATACTACTGTTACTTTCTCTCCCCACACGTCTCTCTCAAGTGCCTGTAAGCTATAATGTAACAAATTATGACAAAATTCCTTATATGTTAATAACGAATGATTTATAACAATTAAAATCTTACGTTAATACTGCATTAGGATTCTTTTCTACGGCGTATACTTTGATGTTCTGCCTTGCCATTTCTGCTGCATTTAAAGACGCATAAACTAGTGGCCCTCTTCCAGCACCAACTACCATTATAACTCTAGAAAGCAAAGAAAGTTTTATTTATTTTCATAATTTTATACAATTGTTATGTAATTTTAATATTATGTATTACATTTTTCTATTTTTATCCTCCTCTGTCTTGGATGCAATTCCAAGAATTGCTTGATAGATGGCTGTTTGGTATTGCGTATATTTAACAGGATCTTTCTCAAATATTTCGTACGTTTGAGATTCAAGATTGTCCATGAGTGGTTGTAAAGGACATTGCAAATAATCTTCATAGCCACGAGCAAATCTTTCAACCGGTCCATTTATCTGACAACCCTATATAAAATTTTCAAGTTTAAGTAACTTCTTAAGGTAAACAATAAAGTTAATTATATAGTTTACCTTCCATAAGTACTCCAAGTAATTGTGATAATAACCAATATTTTGATGCCGATTCGCTCCTGTGAGTACAAACTGTACTTCTAACATTGAAAATCTCTTCACCAATGTTTGATGCGCTTTGCTTAAAACAGGGTATCCCTTTTTGTTCGTGATAAATATTGTTGTAGGAAAAATCAAGCATCTTACTGGTTCACCTAGCCACCTATCAATCTTGTAATCAAATTAACTTTGTTATATTTAATTCTGTTACACATTTGCTACTACATTCAGAAAATTGAAATTTAGGAAAATACCTCTTCTTGTTCGGGGAGATCATGGCTTACAATTAATGCAATGCCCACCTTTCGGTCATAATCACATATTATTCTAAAGGCATTCCACCATTCCCATGTGCTTTCTACTGAACTACACTCCTGTTCTCTGTAAGAATAAGCTTGTTTAACTGGATTTTCCATAGGTATTTGTATCCAAACCTATAATAAAATTAAGAAAAACTACATGTTATAAATACACAATTTCTAAGTCTAGTCAATATATGTACCTGCAATGTACATGTGCTTGTTACTTTATCAGAAACAATTCTAGCAAGATTCCCATTCTGTTCTATTCCACCCATCAATCTGAAAGTGACTCCTACAAGACCTAAATGTCTTGCTAAAGCAAACTCTTGATTCAAAGCCTCTTCACTGTTTTTCTTTATAAAGAAATTTCTTGAATCAACTTTAATATGAGAAGATAGTTTACCGATAATTAAATTATTCCAATCTGTAAATTAAAGTATAATTATCTTCTTGCAAACGTGTACACAATTGTCAATTCACTTACCAGAGCTGCACAACACTAGGTCTGGTCTGGTAAATGGTCCATTGCGTGATTTTGCAGCACCAGATACAAATTCTCTCTTATACAAGGGATGAATAAGTGGTACAAATACAAACTCATATCTATAAACAGATTTTGTATTAAATTATTTAATGAATAAATAAACAGCATAGTTAATGTTACTTTTATTGACATACTTTGATGAATTTGCTGTAAAAATACAGTTATTAAGGTCTGGTACAGCACAGAAATCAAGACCACAGGAAATTGATCTCTGATTTGACATTATATTTCACCATTAAACACAATAGTTGTTTCCTGAAAGTATTAAATAAATAAGATAACTTGTCATCGAGTCGTTTTACAACACCGGGTATACCGGTAAACCGCTACCAAAAAAATGTATTCAATTTTATCGAGTGATATATACTTGTGTTTTAATTATATTTTAGTACGGATACCTTAATAATATTATTCAACGAATTATCAATATGCGTCAAACTCTTTCAACATTCAGTTATTCTGAATTATAACCAATTACAACAAAATTGCAACTGCTCAGACGCTGATCACGATATGCACGTGCAACACCATGTACACCGTCATGCACAGTCATGCACACACGCTCTCAGTATGAAATATTAAAAAGATTTTCATCGAAATTTTGGTTTCATAAGTATGATTTTAATATAAGTAAATCTTTAATAGTTAGAATAAAATTGGAGTTGATTAATTGTCGAATTAATTATAATGGAATTATACATGAAAATTTTATTTTTTTATTTTGAAAACAATCACTACATGGAAACTACAATTATTGAAATCTTTTGTGTCATTTTTGATATTGTTTGATACATATCCATAACTACAACAATTTTATATTATCGTTAATTATTAATTATTTTTCTACGTAATGAAACATATTTTTTAATAAAAGGATGATATTTAGTTGAACTTTTTTGTTTACATTTATGAAGGGGGTGTCAGCAGCGAATTAACCAATTAGAAGCGACGTCTCGCCACTAAGTCGACCATTTTGAATGCTGCTTTCGTCGATCTATTTCACGTCCGTGTCCGTGATAGACGCTTGGTGACTCCATTTCCTCGAGCATTCCCGTTTCGTCTCATCTTCTTGTGCCGCGATCAACTTTGCTATTTTTCCGGTAAGTAATAAAGTATTATTTACTTTCAATTAGGTGAAATTGTTCATTAAGTACTGTAGAATATCAAATGGTTTCTTTTACCGTGATAGAAAAGAAAATTTTCGCAATAATACGTAGGCTTTGATGAAAGTGCACAGTTAGTCACATTGTACGGCGTCGTTTGGTATGTGAAACATCAAACGAAAAAATTACGATTACTTATCTTCTTTCCTATGTGTTTGGTCTTTTCTTTTATTTGCATCAAACGCAGTACGCACAGTTATAAAGTTTTCTTTGTTCGTCGACCAGAAAACTTCGACCGGTTAAATTACTGAAAATTATTCAGATTCGCGTATCGGAAATAGACGCCCTATCATACTCCATTTATAAATTAAAAGTGTACAGTGTGAAGACTTCGTAAGGTCATATAACGAGACAACACGTTTCTAAGTGAACGTGCGTATCTTAAAATACTATTTTTCAAATGAAATACTGTGAAAAATAGAAATGAAGGATAAATTAAATTTTTGAATATAAATTAAATAAAATTTATTATCTCTAAATCATTATAAATATGCTAATGTAATACCCAATCATGTCTAATATTTCGAATATTATCTGTTTAGATACAATGTCCTTTAATCGAGGAATAAAACGAGATTCCTTTGGGAATCGAAACTTCAACAACCGAGGAGTAAGTGGCAGTGGTGGAGGAGGCGGTGGAAGAGTTGGAAACATGGGTGGAGGTGGAGGCAGCATGGGTGGCAACATGGGTGGTGGAATGGGAGGTGGTGGAGGTGGTGGCAGTGGCGGACTGAATCCTTGGGAAGGAGGAATGATGCCTGGTAGAGGGATTCTACCAACTCCAAACAATAATTTATCTTTAGCGTCACCCCAAGCACAGTTGGCAATAGCCAGTAATCTTCTCACAAATTTACTTCGTACCCAACAAGATGTACAGCAGCAGGTACGATTTTTATTCATTTACATAATTAATACATTAACATATTTGCATTCGTTGTTACATGGTATTATAAGTGTAACTGTACATTTATAGCAGGTGCCATCACTCCTCAGTCTTGGGAATAATTTTTCTGGGCCTGGGCCAAATTTTTCAAATCAACAAAACTTTCAATCCGGACGTTTTAACGATCGTCCTGTAAGGCATCCGATGAAGAATCAGCGAACTCAACCATACAATAAGGTATGAATATATAACAATTGTCATTGTTATACAACTATTGTTAACATACAGACATCATGTTTGATACAAGTTGCAAAAGGGCAATCTTTGAACACTTCTTATTACTACATCAACAACACCAGTTCTTAAACAGAAATATTTGAAAATCTCTCCTTCTTTATGTTCATTGATCAATTCATTAATGAGGCTTTTCAATCAATGGATAAGACACAACATGGCTATCCTGTGAAGTTAATTAGACACAATCAGTTTAGCCATATATGATTTTCGTAGGTGTATTTAATTATCGTCGCAATGTTATTTTATTAAAGAAACACGGTAACAAAGACGTGTTATTGATTTCAGAATACAGATTCTCATTTTTAGTAGTGGATGTTAACTGTGGTTTTGTGCAGTGAATTTTCAGCAAATACAAGGAGATATGTTTTCCCCCTGACTTGGTTCATTTATATTCTGTCCAAGTCTTCTATTCGTCATTGCAGCTGAAACCAATGGAAGAATATCTGCTCAAAAGTATTGACTGCAAGTTGTATTTTTCACTGTTTTAATGTCTTCTTCTTGTTGATTATTTTTCATTGAGCTTTATTGAACTAACGTTCGAAGGAAAATTTATGCGTTTTATAAATATCATATCTTATGATCAAACACGATCATTGCCTGGAAAAAGTTAGATGATACGATAATTGTGTGCATCTTCAACTATCTATTACTACGTTCCTTGTCCCGTCCACGAAACGTGGAAACACTGACCGCACGGTGTTCATTGAAACACCGAACACGTCCTGCTTCCGAATCGATTAGAATATTTTTCTCCTATCAACAATCCCAGTGGTTGTAAAAACCAAATTCGATTCGAGAAGAATCGCGATTATATCAGATACTTCTCATGACGGTTTGGTCATTTGACCTACATGACTAGATGGGCAATCGCGCCCGCGATGGCCCTGCTGGGCGACGTGGTCCATCTGCACAACAATCTCGTGCACCCCAGTCTGGCAGTCAGCGTATGAATGGAAACCAAAATCAACATCGCAACGATAAATCTTCTAAACCAATTCCTGCCTCTAAACAAAATCAGACTGCCAAAAAGGAACAGCAGGACGTTAAGACCTCTGATAATGAAAAAGCAGAAGCACCTGTTGTGAAAAGGTAAGCTCCTGGTGATTGTGAATAGTTTCTTCAAACTTCAGTAAGTCTCATTCTGTCACCTATCTTTGTATGTACGGTGTTTCTTACGTATATACAGTATATTTTCTGTAAAAGCAGCATTGTGCCCTTTTTCTAATCTGACTTTGTAAAAAGAATACATACATATTTATATACACATATATCTATATAGTATGTTATATTCACTCCCCCATTGTTGTTGAATCTCGACACGTATTTGAAGTTTTAAGTTATACTTGCTAGAATTTCGGAACACGTAATGTTCCATAATTACATAAAGAATATATATACACCCTATATGTTCTTCTTTCGATACACATTATTCAATGTAGCTTGTTCATAATAATAGGTAAATTGAATATCTTCACTCGACATGAACGCCATGTTCAGTTTCTTGCTAGTTTTCGCATTACAGATTTTATGTATGTACATGTGCCATTACTAAAAACAAGTTAACCAAATATTGGACATTTGAATTGTCTTTGGAAAGAAACTACAATAAGCCTGATCACAATTTGTAGTAATTACAAAAGTACTATGTATTTGTTTCTATATCAGCGAAAACAAGGAAGAGTCCGAAGACAATAAGCGCGATTGGAAGGACGAGAAGAAAGAATCCCTGGATGCTCAAGCTATTGAAACCGAAGAAGGTGAAAAGTCTCTTGAAGATTCTGAACAGAAAACAGAAACAGACGGTACCGAAGAGGGGGCAAAGGAGACAAACGCGGCTACATCTGAGAAGGATTCGAAGCTTACTGGCAAGAAGTCCGAAGCTAGACACGCTGAGAGTCGTTACGCAGAGGTTCCAATGAACCACATGTTCTGTCACATTTGTAATAAGCACATGTGGGACGGATATGTGAGTATTATTTTCAGATGCCAATGTGATTCACATCGAGACACTGTGTAAATTAATGTTGGATTATTTTCTCTAGTCTTTCGAGAATCATTTACGAGGACGAGCGCATCAGTTGATGATGGAAAAGTTAGATGAATCGTACAAATTGAAAGTTGATCTGATGAGACACGAGTTGAGAGTAGCAGAAGAACAACGTGAACTTAGTTTGACTAATTCGAAACGCCGTGGAAAAAAAGTGGGTATACAAAAATCATATTGTAATGGTTTACAATATATGTCATTGAATACATCTAACCTATAATTATTTCTCATTAGGTTTCCGTGGACCTGAACGTCAGAGAGTATTGTACAATGTGCGACTTAAACTTTTACGGTACTTTATCAACACACAGGAAGAGCGAAAAGCATCAACAGCTGAAAACATTTTTGCATCCACGATGTTTCCCTTGCCTGAAAGAATTTCCGTCGCGTATCGAGTATGATGAACATTGTTTGTTGCCCGCGCACATGAAGAATGCTGTACAGTGTGAAGAACAACGAAAGAATAAGAAAAAAGGTACGTGAAGGACACAAAGATGATGTGTCAATATATAAAGAAAGGCAGAAAAAGTAATGCGTATTACTTTCTTCTTACTTGCAGAGAAACTTGCAAAGGGAGAAGCCGAAGTACGGACTATCGAGGATGAAGAAAAAGATGTTGGTTCTGATATTAAGAACGAAAAGGAAGAAGAGCCTGTTGGAGAACAAGAGTACATTACAGAAATTACTGAAAACTTGGCAGAGAAGAAATTCAAGATACCATCGTATAAGTACTGCCGACAGAATCAAATTTCTATCGGTAAATTTAATCTCGAAAATACTTGTATCATTTCCAAGTATTGTATACATTAGTATATAATTACGAATTTATATATTTTTTGTTTTAGGGAAATCTATGGTGAAAGAAGTTGAAGGATTTTACTGTGAAAAGTGTCGCAGATTCATGCTCTTAGCGGATGATATGAATGCCCACTTGCGCAGTATCACTCATTACCGTAACTTCGTGCAAGAAGTAAAGTCTTTAACTTCCAGTAATGAAAGTACCGAAAAATCAGCAGACAAATCTGAGGTATAATTTCCTGAAAACCGAGAGGGGTTTCAACCTCTAATCTGTCAGGATCAGATCAGAAACTTAGTTCCTCTTTGTTTTATAGACGAACGAGAATGCAACGGAGAATAACAAAGAGTACGAAGGAAACTGGAAGCGTAGAAAGGTCGCTAATTCCGAAGAGGGAGATGACGGGGAAGCAAAAGATGAAAGCATGCTGGATGATAGTATGCTAGATGATAGCATGATAGACAATAGCATGATAGATAATAGTATGCTAGATAGTAGCGCTGATAATGCAAACGCACAGAAGAAGCCCGATGGTGACGAAAAGTATGATCCACTCGAGGCTGACGCAGATTCCGAGGAGGAAGAACGTCGCGAAGGCGCGAATAATAGCCAACAAGATACGCTAAATGATTCCAGTACACAGGATAAAAAGACAACACCGGTCGACAAAGCATGGGCCGATATCGATAATGATAATGACGCGGAAATAGGTAACTTAATCGACGACGCGGAGGAGAAAGAGCAACACATTGAGCCTGAGAAACCTACACCGAAAGTCGAAAGAGATCAAAGTCCTCAAGTAAAGCCAGCCCGTGGTCGAGGAGCTTTCGCACGTGGTCGCGGCAATCCACGAGCACGAAGAGCTCGACGATAATACCATTTCTATTTCAAAATTGAAGTAAGCTTGGAATTACCGTGTAGTTATTACACCTTTTAGTTCAATCTTTTAGATTTCACTGTTTTTTTTATCTTCCAGTCATCAATATTGCATATAATTTTACTACAATCTATATCCATCGATACTATTTACTTGTATCTTCGCGCGGAGGGAAACACAAAGAAAGTGATTATTTATTTATCCAAGCTTACTGAACAAACGTTTCTAAATTACTTACTACTTATAATGAGTTGTAGTCCATACAGATTCTCAAATAGAGAACAAATAGGTTTGAAGTCGAGAAGAAGAAATAGTTATACTCTCGTGTATCATGTAACTATTCTATACCAGGAAACATGATTAATGTTCAGATAATTGAAATATATTAATGGTTTTTTTTAAATAATAACCATAATATAAAGCTATTATAAAGTTCATTCCTATTAGGCATGTGTTGAAGCAGCATACAAAAGTATCTTGCAATAAAATTGAGATATTCATATGATTTTATTCAAATTCTGCCTAGTTGTAATAATATAGTTATGATCAAAGTTCATGAGTCTATACACAAAATATAATGATTTTCTTTTCTTTATGAGAATGTGATAGGATTTTATTATAGGACATCATATATGTTTTACGCGACAACGGATGTATTGTAAAAATATTAATATGGAAAATGCATATAGTTGGACGATTGCCTTATACAAATATTGAAAGATTTCATTTCATGAAATAATTTGCACGTTATATTATTATCTGTATAGAGTACTTTAATTTACAGAAATCAAATTATGCAAAATTAATGATCATGTGTATTATATCTCAATAATGCAATTGTTGTATTAATTAAAGCATCATGAAGAATAATGATTGTTTATAGAAACTGTCAAGTAATAAAATAATGACATGGTATTTTTAAAAAATCATCTAAACGTCTTTTTATTCCAATATTCGATTCTTCTACATTAGTATTGTAGAAAGTATAAAAATAAATAATATATAAAATACCGAAGTATATGTTTTGCATCCCTCACATAAATATTTGACAAACATTGTTATGAAATTAATGATTTCAAATAAAAACAGCCAAGATACGAGCATAAATTGTGTAGAAAATGTAATTATTTACATATAAGATACAATACAGGTATAAGTCCCAGTGTATACAGTTATAAATGACATTAATCCATAGAAAGATGAGTAGCTAGAAACTCGTCAACAGAATCTGTATCCCATTTATGAATATCCAGAATGTCTTCAATTTTGTTGTCTGCATCCATTAACTTAATTATTGGGTCTAAGCCCCTAACATACTTTATTTGCAAGTTCTTGTATTTACTAGGTCTATCACTCTTTATGAAAGCTGAAAGCCATATGATTTAATATACATAATACATTTAACATGAAAAAAAGAAATTACACTAAATTTATTCTGTTTTACCTTGAATTTGTGGATATGCACCAAATTTACATGTGCACACTTCAAGAATAGCTCGTGGATAACGTTTTAATCCAGAGGCATCATAATCATCATCTTTTAAGCAACATTCTTTGCACTTGTCCCTGTATATTAAAAGAAGGTTTAATAAATTTTTCATAAAACGGAATTAATACCCCCATACAAGCATTCACAATTTTTGTATTACTTGCCATATTACTGAGAGACCATTTTTATTAAATTCTTCACATGTAGAACAGAGTAAATTAGCTTTATTGAAACCTAAGCTTTTACAATCATCTGCTGAAAATTCTGCAGTCACAATATTTACCTACAAAGATTCACATATCAATGAAAATCCTATAAACGTTAATAAATAATGGCTATATAACAGATTTTGTGCAATTATCACATCCTTAAATTTATAAAATGCAATGAAACAAACACTTTACAAAACGTTCAACAAAGTAATTAATTTCTTTCGAGCTAATACCATTGATAGAAAAATTCACTTTCAACCTATTTCTTATTTTTTAAGATTAACTTGTATAAATTTCAATTCGCAATTTAAGAAAAGCTTGTTAGAAATAATATATATAGACGTTCTGTTATTCATAAATCCCACCTTATTCAGCATTTGGACACGTACTTTCTCACAATATGATTAATAGGTTAAATAATAATACTTCGGCACTTACCATTATGCTGGATAAAACTAATTGTACTAATGTCATAATCTCCATTCTATTATCCCACATATACGATATACAACAAATAGCTTGACTACTCTTTTCAAATTATAAAATATCTGTTATAGTGGTATAGTTAACCGTATGTTAGTCATAGACGTATACAGAAATATAGAGCGTTCAGACTAAAACGGAAGAACCAACTTTAGAAAGAGATAGATAGCTTTCGAAGGAGTTGGCATCTCTTTTTAAATCTAACAATAAGTAGGGATGAATCGATACAAGTAAATACGAGACGGTAGTAGCACCGAATAGGTATTGGATAGACCTATCATCATATGGGACTTCGTGTCTCATGTTCTGAAATACCGATAGTGTAAAAAGTCAGGGATTTTCTGCTGCCCTCTACTATATTATTGACATCATGGAATATTTTTTTGTCTGCAACCAATTTTGAAACGAACTAGATGATCATTTTGTCATATACAGGCGTTTATGACTGGCGATGAATGAATTGTTATTGTCAGTCTTGTTTTCTCAAAAGTGAATGATAATTAATAATAATAAATCGAAGAAAAAAAAGGTCTTCTCACTTTACATAAAGCAGGCTTGGGTGCTTTTGATTTGAAATGAAAACTACAAATAAAAACAGCCAATATTTATTCCAAATAAAATAACAGATAAGTTTATTTGAAAATAAGGATATATGCAAATAAATTCCAAAATCTTATTTCAGAAATAAATTATTTCTAAATGATTTATTTGCCACATATTTGGTTATTTAAAAATTTAAAAATAATAATGCAAAATAAAAAATAATAGATTTTTGTATATAATGAATATATTTGTCATTGTAAATTAAAAAATATTTTGTTTGTTTAAATTTATGGGACAATACGTAGATATATGTGTTCGTAATAGCATATTAAAAGTAATTAGTGTTTTGTACTCGAACACAAATTCCGACAAATCCGACCGCGAATCTGCACAACCTCGGTGAAATCGGTATGGAACACTTCGTAGGTTTATTTTTATTTTATTACTAATAATTCTATGATATATGTATATTGCATATATTTATAGCATCCTGAAAACGGGTATTAACGAGCCATTCCACGTCGAAACGCACAAAACTGCGATCTTAATGATCGATTTTTTTTCGAATTTGCAGCATTTGTTGATAACCACAAGAAACTAAATTGTGTAAAATTTTAGTTTCTAATCTGCAACCATTTCCGAGAATTTTCCTTGCGGGAATGCCTTACCGTAATCAGCCATCTCGTGGCCGCGGGATTCCGGGAATCGGGTGACGTCACGGCGTGCGAGCGAGAGCGGTAGAGCGAGCCGCGGTATCGGTGCTCTCCGTCGGTGTTGACGGGTGCCGAGGAATTTCGGTGGTCTATGGGAGGGAGGTGTGCGAGCGAGAGAGTACGGTAGAGCGTGCCGAGTATCGGTGCTCTCCGTCGATCCAACGCGCTAGTGAGTTGCGTCACCCAGTTTATTGACATAGCCGTGTACGCCGTGTACCAAGGTCGTACCACACTATCCCGTGCAGGTCTGTGCTTGCTTCCTCACTTTCTCGTGAACCGTCGCGGAGGGTGGTCGCGCGTCTCATACTCGTCCTTTCTCTTGTTACTAACCCATTGTTTGTTGCAGGCATTCGACAACCATCAATTTATTTACTGTGCATATTGTTGTGTCCCCTCTCTTGTTACTAAT